GATGGTGATGATGATGATGGTGGTGGTGATGATGATTATGTTCACGGTTATGATCATGATTATGATTATGATGATGTTGACGCTGATGATGATGATGATGGTGTTGATAATGGTAGTGACGATGATGGTGGTGATGATGATGATGGTATGGTGAGGATGATGAAGTGAACGGTGATAATGATGATGATGATGATGATGATGATGAGGATGATGATGATGATGCTGCTGGTGAATATGCTTTTTTGTCGGCGACCCACGCATACATGCGATGCCAATGTGTGGGACTGGGTTAAGGGATGGAATGATGAAACATGAAATAGAAACATGCAGCTACAAGAGCTAGGTACACCTGACCCGAACACGCGCCCTGACATCGAAGCGAATCGCACGGCGCACAAGTAGACTGTATATGGCGTCGACTACCTACAGAAGGCCGTGGGGCCCTCCGAAAGGGACAACACAAGCTCCCCAGATGAGGGAGGCCTCCGCATATCGGTGGAAAGTAGGGAGACCAGCGGAATCACACACACGAGCAACGTCCAGATGCCATCCGCTCGACGCCTGGCCCCCCTCTGGAGCCTCCATCGGACTGTGCACTGATGTTTTCGTTTCGTGCAAGGACTTGAAGGGGGGCTGGCCCGACAGAACTTCGGAAGCAAGAGCGTCAGCTCGCTGATCAAAAGCACGACGCACGCGCCTACACCAGTGACCAGTGCTGAAGCGAGGAGCACACAGGCCGCGGGATCAGAGCTTTCCGAGCTGCCTCTGAGCCGCGGCGATGCGAAGGACATACGAGCCGTCAAACATTTTCCGGCAACCATTAAGCCACTGGACGATCAGCTTGGAGACACCTAGAATTTCGAGTCTATACCTGAACAACTCAGAGGAGAACGAATCAGGAGACGAAGTATCCGAGAGGGTATCCCGGTAGACCTTCGGAAATTCAACCCGCCTACGCTTGACCCCATCGAAAGGAGGGGAAGAACTAGAAGCCGACGACCTCACTTCTTTCTCCCACACACTCTGGCACAGGCAGCGCGACCTGCTCGAAAGCGAACTTGAGAAACTAGAGGCACTTCGCAAAGGAGAAGAAGGAGGAGTCGCCGATGGAAGAAACCCACAGGTCACTCGGTCGGGTGGAGTTTGGTTCATGTTTCCTCTTACGCTTGCTACAAACATCACAGCCTTCACCGCGAAACGGGACGACCTGCTTCAGCTGCCACTGCTGATGACATCTCTGAAAACGCACGAGCACAAGTAGGAGGTGTGACAGAATGCATATGCTTCGACACAACGCGTGGAGAAAAAACAACAAAACAAAAAAGGAGAGAAGATTGACCGCAGCACCCGGACACTCAAAGGAGGGTAGCCCGCTTCATAATACACCTCGGAAAAGCGAGCTGCACGACGAACGCAGGTAACTGCGTCATCATGGGGGTTCCTTTTTACACGGGCGATCCGTCGTAGATGGCATCCTTCCCATCGATCAAATCGGAGGACCAAGTCTTTGCACCAGGTCCACGACCCCGAACCATCGGGCACAACACGTTTGCGATGACGATCCAGACGCAGATTAAGGGGCAGAGCTGTGCACAGGTAGACCTTCGAGTCCTTCCAGAAAACCTGAGAGCCTCTGTTCAGCCTGTGGCCAACTGCATCAATGGTGTTTGCATCAGGAGACTGCCAAATACCCAGGACCTCGCAGCCCCCCGAGCGCGCAGGCACGCGCCAGGAATGTTGATCAACACGCAAGGCAACCGTATCACACAAAGGACAAAGGACCAGGTTAGTGAAGAACTCCGGGGATTCTGCCTTCCATGAGAGACAGTGCTGGCACATCAACTTCGTCTATTCAATCGAGATCCCGCTCGCAGTTTCAAGAGACCTACCAAACATAAAATCAGCAGCTCAAAGCAAGTGGTTGCACAACCGCGCATTGATCATCCTTCCCACAACGTCGCGCCCCCGGGACGGAAGAAGCTTAGAGCGCAACAAACAGACAGTCAAGTTCCACAGGAAGGGGGCCTCGATTACGCCCTGCCTGCCTGAGTTGTTGAACGGGGCGTTGGACTCGAGCTCGGCGCCCTGGAACATGGGCCCCATCATGGTGCACATCTGCTCGCGGAGGATGGCAGGGATTGAGAGAGGGCGCAAGTTTATGTTCTTCGTAGCTTCCACCATCAGAACACAGCACAGCATGTCAAACGCCCAGGTCACATCTCCCTCGACGACGAAAATGGGCGCATCCAGTCTCCTCGCGCAAGAGTTGGAAACCTCCAGCCATCGAATCAACGGAGAGCTTTTCATAATAACGAAATTCGCAAACAGAAGACCATGAATGAGGACAGGGGGTAGAACGCGCAAGCATTACAAGACATGACGCGCACCATCTCTGGAGCACGTCCATCAAGCTAATCATTCGGAAATCGGCCAGAGAAAGAGGCGACGGAATCTTCTTGATAAAGAACATGACTATGTTGTGTCAGGAACCCAGAAGCCACGCGCGCGCCATCATACTGGTCGTTAAGCAAGTGACCAACTGCATGCCATACAGCGACGGTAATAGAGCAACCAAGAATTTCACCCACGACCCTCGATTTCACACCAGGTGTTTTTTCCCCTTTTAAGTTTAGCTCGAGCCCAGAGGACGACGTCGATCGACAACCTGGGGGGGCGACCATCAACTCGATGACTACGCGATTCATTCAGTTAGAAGACTACAGTGCCTGATGTTCTGTCTGAAGGCCGCCTCGCTGCTATCGAAGCATTAAGCCGAGCAGTACCTCTCCACCTCCCGATTCCATGGATTACGATCTGTCGCAAGCACCCCTTGACATCGAGAACAGCGAGCACGGCAAACGCGTCAGTCTGCGCACGCGCATCGCAAGCACGCCAGCAACGGCGAAGCAGTGGATCCCGTCGACGCAAAACTTCCCCACCTACCTCAGGCGGCGCACTCTTCGACCGCTTCCCTGCTTCAACCAGTTCATGAGGTTTGCGGTTCAGGACCCCGGACCACAGGAACTTCGCGGCGCGCTCAAATCCCAGAGCCGCAGTCCCGATGAACCTGGACACTGACTCGAACGAGGAATTCTCCGGGACACCAGGACTACGAAAGCCATCATCAAAAATATTACCAACATTACGACGCGGAAATAGCTCGGAGGCTTCCTCACTCGATGGCTTCCAGTCTGTAGTGCTTCCTTGAAACATGACCCTGCTGATGGCGACTTCACTGGCTGCTCTACGCAGGACGGACCTGGCCCGGGAGATACCGTCGCGGACCCAACTTCGGTGCGACGAGGAACTCGAAACCAAGACGTAGTCAGTCCAGGCACACCTCTGGGCCTCATTCCAGGGCCTTCGAGTAAACCGCAACTCTTGAGTCAGCCAGGCGTTCGCCACTCCCAAATCAAAACTTTCAAGCACGCGTAGTAGAAGATGCCCACGCTGCTCGCAGGCGTCGCCGGCACGAGAGCGGAGACGAGGAAGGACGCGAGGATGAACTCGCCCGCGCCACTCTGAGGGCGGCTCGGCCTTAGCACCCATGCCCACAACGAATACTCGAGCCCCATGAGTACTCAGAGCACGCATGGCAGAGACCCAGTCCGAGACAGCTTCCTCGAAGTCGGTAGAATTTCCGTCGCCAGAGGCACACGGGAGATAGCTGGACACAAGACCCTGGGATCCCGCGAAGACCCAGGATATTCGATCAGAACAAAACCTACACACAGCTTCACGTTCAAGAACTCCTGGGGCCGAAACAGCTGCACGACACCTGATTCACAAACAGAACACCTCCAGAAAATTCCACTTCAGGGGAAACGCGCTCGACTTCCCGGAACAAACCAACACTCCGAGCAGCATCGACCCGACCGCTGATCTCTCCGAAGGACTCCGAGATGCCCTCGCTGAAATTCCATGCGACAACATTCAGAGAGTTGAGGGGGGAATAGGAAGACTTGCGCGCTGCCAGAGGCCTAGGCCCGCGTCAGCGGAACGCCTCAATCATTCGGCCTCTGCCAGGTTCGGCTTGACCTTCGCCTGCGCGGATCCGTAGACCTGCCAGCCCTTCCCCTGCGACCGAATCGCCAGAGTCTCGGGCCCCTCTTTCCTCTATCTCACCACTAGCGGAGCCTCGCTCCGCAAAATCTGGAACTGGGAGCGGTCGAGGCCGTCCTCGATGAGGAAGCGCGTCGCCTTGCCGCCCGCGGCGCGGTAGGGCCGTCATGCCGGCGGGACCTCCACTCCCGCAAATACCTTCTTGCCTTTGATGCGCGCGCCATGGCCCGCCTCGAAACCCGTCGCCAAAGCATTTCTGAAACCACGTGCTGCATTATCCCGCGGGCCCTCAACGTCCCCCTTCAGCCACAGCAGGATCTCCGGGCTCAACTCCTGCCAGTTGACCTTCGAGCAGGTGACCTCCCAATCGACCTTCTCCTTCTCCTTCTCCTCCAGGTAGGGAACGAACGGGCCACCGCGTCGGACTGCTGTCCGGGCCTGCTAGGACCAGGCGGACGAGGCAATGGCCTCCTGCACATACAAACGCGCATAGGAACTGCGAGACATACAAAAAGTATGACTCTGCGCAACACAGAAAAAATTACGGCGAGGCGCGGCACGGCACGGCACTACGGCACCGCGGCACCCCGGCACCACGGCACCACGGCACACGCCACACCGACTCGCGGGCTGGCGACACGACAGGAAATGGCGCACGGCACAGCTTGGCACGACGGTACGGCGCGCCACGGCACTCTTGCGAGACGAGCCGCTGCTTCGTCCCTGACTGTACTCCGCACTCCCCCATCCCTGCGGTCACCAACCCCGCCCGGCGCATCGCAGCCCGTGCCATATCCTCAACTCTCTTCTGCTACCCTCTCCTCCCATATCCTCCCCCTTCCCTCCCTTATTCCGTGCCTCTGTCTCGCTCTCTCTCTCTCTCTCTCTTTCTCATTACCCTCCCCCGCTATCTAGCATCGTACTGTACGTTCCCGGGCGGGCACAGCTTGCGGACGTAGTGCC